CAACTAGTAAGTTTTATTACAGCAAATAATGTATTGATAGAAAATCAGTCTGGGTTTAGAAAATTGCATAGCTGTGAAACTGCAATTCAGCACATTCTTCATGAGTGGAAAAATCTTCTGGATGAAAATTATGCAATTGGTGCTGTTTTTCTTGATTTGAAACGTGCTTTTGAAACAGTGAATAGGTCTATGTTAATAGCCAAATTGGAGAGATATGGTATAGCTGATAAAGCATTGGAGTGGCTTTGTAACTACTTGGACAAAAGATTGCAGGTAACCAAAATCAATGGACATACTTCGACCGAAATTTTAAATGACGTAGGCGTTCCGCAGGGTAGCACTTTGGGACCACTGCTATTTATCCTTTATATTAATGATATAAACAGATCAATAAAAAAATGTTCAGTCCATTTATTTGCAGATGACACACTGTTGTATTTCAAGTCTAAAGATATGAATGACCTAGTTGAGACCTTGAACATTGATTTGGAACATCTGCAAGTATGGTTCAATATTAATTCTCTTAAATTGAACTTATCTAAAACAAAATTTATGTTAATAGGTGGTAGAACAGATAAAGAATCAATTACACAAAATAATCTTCATGTTAAAATCAGTAGTCATATTATTGAAAGAGTAGAGACACATAAATATCTTGGATTTGTTGTTGACTCCTCACTTACATTTAGGGATCACATTTTGTATACAATCGAAAGAATTACGAAAGGTGTAAATTTTCTGTCTAGATTCACATCTTTTTTGTCACAATGGACTAAGCTTACTATCTATAATACTTTGATCTTACCACATTATATCTTTAGTTCCTCGATCCTGTACCTGTGTAACAAAAATGATCAGAACAGGTTGCAAAAATTGCAAAATAGGGCAATGAGAATTATTTTACGTGAAAGGCGTGAAACGCCTATAAAAAATATGTTAGGAAAACTAAATTGGCTTTCTGTTTAAAAATTTCTTATTTACCAAAATATGTTGTTAATTTATAAAATGAAAAATGAGCTAACACCTACATATTTGACTGAAAAATTAAGAAGTCATTCTTCTGTACATTCGTACCCTACTAGGAATCGTAACAATTTTTATGTTACAACAAAAAATAAAAAAGGAACTGAAAATGGTTTATACCATAAGGGTTTAATTTATTTTAATGCTTTGCCTCAACAAATAAAGGACGCCCCAAATATTAATTTATTTAAAAGAAAGTTAAAGATTCATCTTATGGGAGAATAATACAGTAATACTTGTTTCATCTTTGTTGTTTTTGTTGAATTTTGTGTATCTTTGATTTCTGTGTTTTTCAAGACTTGCATGTTGTTTGTAAATCATTATATTTGTTGTTTACTATACACATTTTAAACTTAGGATTTTTATTTTTTTTTTGTTTTTTATTATGTAATATGTAATGAACATGTAGGATAATGACGCAAGTGACATATATATGTATATTATTAAATTTTATATTCTATTGAAGTTTTTTAAATTGTTGCTATATATTTTTATTTTATATTTTATACTGTATTTTGCACTATCATAATTTGTATTTACTTGCATGATATTTTATTTTAGTAGGCGTATTATGTAGTATAGAGGTGGGTTGTGATTTCACGAACTGTGACTTTGTCACTGCTACTCGTCTGTCGCAGTCACGGCTTGCTCCAGTCCCAGTCAAGTAGCAGTGACATTTTGTCACAGCCTGCTCCAATCTCCGACCGATGCAGCGCGGACAGAACTCGAGCTGAGTGATGTAAATGAAATATTAATATTATAAATTGCATCGCGGTCACGCCAAATAGAAACTGCTACTGCAGAGGGCAGGCTGGAAACTGGAGCATCTCTCTAGGACGTGACTGCGGAATGCGATTATGCCATTTTACGATGTAGCGTTAACATATAATAATAGCAGTACGGCCGCCAACTAAGGTGAAACTGCTCCAAAAAATCACTGCTATTTGTCACAGTGACACGACTGGAGCAGTTACGTCTTGTCACAGCTCCATTAAAATCGCAGGTTGGCCCACCTCTAATGTAGTATGTAATAATTAATTTGACTTGTATGTTCATTTATTTTTGTAATTAGCCAGGTGCTAAATAAAGGATTAATATATATATATATATATATATATATATATATATATATATATATATATATATATATATATATATATATATACAAGGTGAATCTGAAAGTGAGGGTTTTTTTTTAATAGGGTATATATCTCGCCAAAATAAGTTGTTTGGCAAAAAATTCTTTACATAAAAAATTTAAGATAACGGAGGTATAGGTATTTTAGGGTTATGTGCATTAAAAATCTAATTTCAATAATCTAAGATTTAGTAGAGAAAATATGATAAAAATTATCAATAGTAATATAACTAGTGCAATGGAAATTATTGATAATTTTTGGGAAATTTGCCCGAATGCATTTTGAAAGAGCACGAGTGCTCGTAGTGCACGAGTGCCTTTTTCAGTTAAAAACGCATGAGTGCAAATTTGTCGAAAATTATAAATATATTTCCATTGCACGAGTTGTATTTAATGAGAGAATTTCATAAATCAAAAATTTAAATTTTTTGTCAAAAAATGTCAAAACACCAGTTTTCGCACCAGTTAGTATGCAATTATCTGATAATTTGCACTAGTGCAAATTATCGCGTAATTACAATCTGATTGGTTCAAATCAACAATCAAAACATGTCAATTCATTGTTGGAATACCAGTTTTGACAGATGTATGAAATTCTCACAAAAATTGTTTAAAATTATTTCCATTTGTATGATGCTTCATTTCCCTCCTAAATTTTGTCTGTTTCACTTTAAAACGAAAATTGATAAGTTGAAAATGAAATTTTTTCTGATGGAATAATGCAACTGTGAGTACCTATTATGGAATAAGACTCATTATGCTGGACTAATAATGGCTTTTTTGCGGCTTTTTTTTTGAGAAAATGTAAACAAAGTGATTTATAGTGGAAGTCTCCTCTAACCTCAAAATAGCTGTACCTCCGTTATCTTAAATTTTTTATATAAACAATTTTCTGCCAAACAACTTATTTTGGTGAGATATACATCCTGTTAAAAAAAAAAGCCTCACTTTCGGATTCACCCTGTATATATATATATATATATATATATATATATATAGACCAAAATTCAGTTCGTTTGGGTTTCACCCAAAAGTACCACTGTTTGAGAAAAGTTTTTGGATTAATTGTCTCCGCTTTTCCATCCATAGACGCGTTTCGACCTATATCAGGTCTCATCAGTATGGCTAGGAAAAGCGAAGAAAACCAAACCAATCCAATTTTTCGCCTAAAGGCAAATGCAAGAAATTCGAAGAGCGAATCTTGATCTTAACGCCATCTAGGACACGATAATCAACACTACACGCCATACTGATGAGACCTGATATAGGTCGAAACGCGTCTATGGATGGAAAAGCGGAGACAATTAATCCAAAAACTTTTCTCAAACAGTGGTATATATATATATATATATATATATATATATATATATGGTATATATATATATATATATATATATAAACAATGGGAGTTTCTTGGGGTATCGGTCGTCTTGAAGGGCTAGGAAATAAAAATCTCTTTTTCCACTAAGCCGAGCTTTCGGCAATTATTTATTGCCTTCGTCAGGGCTACAACAATATAAAAGATCTTATTATTATGAATAATCAAAACTATGACTAGGACATATAAATTTTTAACTATAACTTACTTGCAAAGTGAGAATTTTATAGTCGAAAAGCTTTTAAATTGTCGGAAAATTGTTGTTATTCTATTTTGACTATCAAACTGGACAGAATATAAATGTTAAAAATATGGAAAAATAATTAATAAACAATAATTGATAGATATAAGAAAAATAGAAGAGATAGAAGAATATGTAGAATAAAATTTTGAAGTGTATAAATACTAGTTTCTCATAGACATTGATTTTTGGTGTCATCACTAGACCAGTTAGGTAATTTTAGGAATAAATTTAATTAGATGTAAGTAGGTTCGAATAAATACTACTGAGATCTTGAATATCCTTTCTTTTATTTAGGCATAAAGGTTCTTGAGATATCTCTACCATTTCTAGAAACCCAAGAAACTCCCATTGTTTATAAATTCTCCGGTCAAGATACTCTGTAAATATATATATATATATATATATATATATATATATATATATATATATATATAGTATGTGGTTTTATTGCTATGATGCTATGCCTTACTGTTTCGTGTAATTATTTTTTGTTTCTACAATTCAAGATCTCTCACATTTTCCCTAAGTGGGCCATGAAATGTGGCGGCAAATATACTCATTGCCCAGGGCGGCCAAATACCTAGAGCCGGCCTTGGTTCAAGGACTAAAAATTTATTGGGTAATTAAAAACAGCAGACCACATCCTTTTGTCTTTTCTAGTTTTTGAGGATATTAGCTATTAAAATGCTTCAGTTAAGGTGACACCCTGTATTGTTATGTAACAGTTATTTACTCGGTTATTTACCTAACAAATGCGAAAAGTGATGTGTTAAGTACAAAATTCTATCTATGAGCATCTACATCTCCAAAAAAGGGCATTATTAAAATTTTTGAAAGAGAAGGGATTTTTGAATATAATTACCAAAGTCTACTGCACACTGTGCAGTCTACTTTACCCACTTTCGAGCCCACTTTACCACATACTATTCTCTAAAGTAGCTTTATCGCATAGCATGCGATAAAGTGATACTTTCCACTTGCAAATAAGTGCAGTAGAATGCACTTTCAGCAAGCTCGTAGGCAAAAATTAATTTTGTCTCTGGTACCTTAGGGCTACAAATGAGACTCTTTTTGGGTTGTTATGAGATATAAAGAGCCTCTTCTAGCTGGTATAGATAAAAATCAGATTTATGAGAGGGACATTTCCTATATAAAAAGATCCCTAATATAAACTTTAAACAATATCTAGCAAAAATAACTACAAAATTTGCACTTACAGTCTCAATTTACGATCAATATCGTTAATTATCCAATAATGGGGCCAAAGTAATAAGAAAACAATGAAAATCACTATGATAAGCGCAAATACAAGTTTACGTTTACATGCCGCTATACAATTCATTTTCTTTTTGTACCGCATTATTTTGTAAACTCATTTATTAGCGATAATAATTAAATGTTTATTTACTTGTTTTTGTTGTTGATTTGAATTTTTTTCAAAATCATGTGATGGTTGATGGTTGGTTCAATAATAGCGATTTCCTTTAGCCGAACTGGGTGCAGCACTAGTGCAATAATTGTTCAACATCGTAGTGCAGCACTTTTTGTTCCGAGTGCTGCAGCACTAGTGCAATAATTGTTCAACATCGTAGTGCAGCACTTTTTGATCCGAGTGCAAATAGTTCCGCACCTTGCTTAAGATTGGTAAAACTGTAGAATTTAAAATTAAATGACATGTGACATAAATCACTAGAAATGTCAAAACTAGGGGTTCTAGGGAATTTAAGCTCCTCCCTAAATTTCTTTTAGTTTACAAAATTTACCAAAATGGTGGGTATTAAAACTTATCCTAATTTATTTTAACTTTCCAAAAACATCCCCTGTTTCTTTCAATTAAAACAGCTAATATATCCTCTGCTCACTCCGTTCCAGATAATATTTTATCCAATTTTTTCATATTTCCGCGGATATTTCCAGTTTTTCATTTTCATAGGTTATGTTTGTAATATTTATATTATTTTAGGGTAAAGTAAAGTGCTCAGATTTGAGAAACAAAGACAAAAAGGAGCTGACCAAACAGCTCGATGACCTTAAAAAGGAACTCACCAGCTTGAGGGTGGCCAAAGTTACTGGAGGTGCTCCTTCAAAACTGTCCAAAATGTAAGTACATTTTCTAGTCATGGAAGTTTCACGAGTCTAATATTCTCAATAATTTTCTCTGATTCATTTTCCCAATCACAAATTTGTTGATGAAATTGTTTGTTCTTGGTAAAAAAAAACATGTTCATAGGTATTTACATAACCTTTGATGTTTTTTTCTAATAATTTTCCATTAGAAAAAAATTATGCCAATAAATAGTATTTCATTATTGAGGAATCCTAACAATTATTTTTTTCTCTTTAGCCGTGTTGTGCGTAAAGCCATCGCCCGTGTATACATTGTTATGCACCAGAAACAAAAGGAAAACTTGAGGAAACTGTACAAAAACAAAAAGTACAAGCCTTTGGACCTCAGACCCAGGAAGACCCGTGCTATCCGTCGTGCCCTTTCCTCGCACGAACAGAAACTGAAAACTCCTAAAGAAATCAGGAAATTGTCTGCTTTCCCACCAAGGAAATTTGCACTTAAGGCTTAGAGGATTTTTTTAATTTAATAAAATGTTTAAAAACTAGTTTTGGATGTTTTATTTTTATTAGTGAATGAGTATCCTCAAAGACAATCGTTAAAGTTGATCCTCTAAACATAAAAAATTGGAAAAAACAATCTAACATCAATTTTCATTATTACTTCTAGCTCTAATGGAAGAAGTACAGGTTTATACAAAAAGAGTCTGAAGTTTGAAAAAAGTGAGATTTAATAAAATTGCATCAAACTAATTAACAACACAGTAAAATTAAACCTATCCTTATTCTAATTATTAAATTATACATTAACTTAATGAATAAATCCCTCTACATTATTATTGTTTCTTAGGAATATACTGTGAATAATCATACTTTCTAAACGGTACATCAAAAGTTAACAAACCTTGATCTTGAGCTCTTTTAATGGCAACTTCCAATTCCAACTGTTTTTTCCTGCACAGACCTGTTTTAGAAAACCCAAAAACTGCTCCAGTCTCTTCCGATATAAACTGCTTGAGTAAATCAACGTTTTGTTCGTGCAGTACTAGGTACTCGTCTCTGCAAATGGGGCAAGGGTTTCCTGTAGCGATATGATCATTCCTAATGCAAGTTCTTCTGGTTCTCCTGGGCGGAATTGCGCCTTTGTGGTTTCTTTTGTATGGAACCCATACAGCTTCGTTGCCGTACGTTTGTTGGTATGCGGGGCTCTTTAAATAACGGATACTTGTTTCCACTGGTACTTTTTCGGTTCTGTCTTTGGTGATCTCTCTCATTTCCACTTTGGGCAAGTCGGCTGGATTTTGTTGTTGGAATTTTATCGGCGTTGTGGCCAATTCTCTTTTGCCTATTATGTTGGCGAATACGGTTCTGAACGAAAATGATGAAACTGCTCTGGGAAACATTTTTTGATTTGTTTAAATAAAATAAATAAGAATAATTTTAAATGAGGTTAGGAGGTATAGGGCTTGAAAACTTGACATATTCCTCGTCAAAATAGAAGTTTTCATTTGTATCTGCTCGAAGCTACTCTGAATAATGAGAATCGATTACAACGCCGTTAGCCGAGAATAGTATTACCAGAAATATTTGCAGTAAATCAAGCAGAAGCAAATGAAAACTTGAAAACCCCGAATATTTGTCAACGGTTCGTTTTATTCTTTTATTTAAACAAACAGAGTTCAATTGGAGTGTATACTCCGAGCAGATTTTTGTCACATGTAGGGAGTGTCATATAACCAAACAACTCGCAATTTTTAGAACAAAAAAGTCAAATTAGATTCATTTTTTGTCATTTCAAGCAATTATTAACAATAATTTATTATTTGATTTATTTGTGCCAGTCCAGTATTCAAACATTATTACTATGGATTGCAAGGGACGAGAAGTCCGCTCCTTCCATGGATTCGTGAAAGTACATAATTCAAATTGAAAAAGTGGTAGATGATTTTTTTTTTTATTTCCATGCTTTTTCTATTCATTATTTTATTAATTGCAAGAATATAAATAAATTTCTCAATACTTATTCTATCTCGATCCTCAACAATAATAAACAAAAGAGGCAATTTTCACAGTTACTCTACTAAGGGCGGGTATTATAAAACTGCTTTGACAGTTAACTTGAAGTTAACTTTTTGAATTACATGTAATTCCAGAAGTTAACTTTAAGTTAATTTTCAAAGTAGTTTTATAATACCCGCCCTTAGGGCGGGTATTATAAAACTGCTTTGACAGTTAACTTAAAGTTAACTTTTTGAATTACATGTAATTCCAGAAGTTAACTTTAAGCTAACTCTCAAAGTATTTTTATAATACCCGCACTAAGGGCGGGTATTATAAAACTACTTTCCCTTCCCTATAGCCTACGTGAACGTAGATACTTTACGGTAAAAACTATACCCGAGCCGTCGGAATTTCTTCGGAGTACTTTGAGTGCACGTAGTGAGCAAGCCCAAAACAAGGAGATTATAATAAAAATTCCGAAATAAAAGCTATTCCCGAACAATTATTTAGCGTTTTGTTTCGTGGAAAAATATCCCTAGTGCAGTTCGAACCGATATTTTGAACGAGTGTTAAATGAGTGTTACACTGGTTCGGGTGCGAAATATTTCATTATTCATAATCATAATCAAATGCTCCATTTTAGTCTACTCCGTTTAGATGAACGGTCTGAGCGTGAACGAAACGACTCGATTAAGGACTGATTTATCAGTGGACGGTTAGGTAGTTTAGCTGTTGATAAACTAATAATCATCATTGGATAACCGACAGCTAAACTAGATAACGGTCCTTAGGGTACAAAAAAGCTATGCCTGACCAATCGGAATGCCTATTGCCTACGGACTACTCACCTTGCGTTCGGTATTTTGCTCAAAGAGTAGAACCTTAGATCATATATATATGTTATTCACATATGTGAACACCTATATATATATTCTTATGATCTAAGATTAGAACGTAGCCAGCGACCTCAACTATTGACGTGAAATGTATTAAGGCCGAAACCCACTAGCAACACGACACGTCATGCTTTGCCACGCCACGCCATGTGACGAAGATGTATGCGTATATTCTTCCATTTATTTATATGTGCCACGTACACACTTGCCACACGGGATACCACGTCATGGCACGCCACGCCATCCGTCCATTTACACACAGACTGTCCCACGTGAACCTGTGTCACATGGCGTGGAGTGGCGTAGTATGGCGTGGCGTGTTGCTTGTGGGTTTCGGCCTTTAGCCAAGTTTAAAACAGTATAGGTCAAGAAAACGAATTCCTAAAATGTTATAATCTTTGGTAAAATCACCTTTTTTACATTTAAAATTGACGAAAAAACCAGTACAACCTGAATCGCAAACATCCCATCACGGCCTACGGGTGACGTCACCACTATAAGCTGCTGATGGTCTTGCCGACTCGAGAACTGGCAAATGTTCGCCTTATGCAAGGATAATACACACTACTAAGGATTGCTCCTCGGCCTTGTTTTTGGTAATCCCGTTCATATGGTGTAGCACCATTGTCGACGTCATTCACTAAGTCGGCTGTTCGCGTTTTAAATTCATGATGAAATGTATTATTTAATATTGATAAAACATAATAGGCAAAGAGGAAGATGCAAACTAGATCTAAAAAAAGAGTTGTCCTGATCCGCTGACCTGATTGGCCCCAGATTAAATGTAAACGCGGGTCGTCGCGTCAGGGACCCGTAACCGCAATTTTCGCAATGCACCACGTTGGGGACCCGTCGCATCGTATAGTATTCGTTTTCTCCTCTGCTACTTCATACTAAACGAATCGCGAATTGCGAATAATGATCCTATTGGTTGAATTGGCTTCTTGTCGCTTGAGATTGTTCGGCTCAAAACGTAGTCTGTTTTTTTTTTTAATAATTCCCCAAGTCAAAAATTCAGTAACTCTGTTGGCAACACAAGCCTTTTCTACATAAAAAATTTGGAAGTAATGACAATTTTACATTGTATTGCCAACATAATGTCATTGTGACTTTTATCTCTTTAAAAAAAACAGACTTTAGCATTGCTCTCGGCGAAATTCACGTGTTCGGCTTGAGCAATAGAACGGTCCCAAATCTTGCATGCACGCTTTTTCTTGCTCCGTCAAATTCGATGGATGATGGATCCAGTAAGAGATCAAAACCATAGATATAACCAACCCCACTTTTTATTTTGAGACTTTTTTGAGATAATGGACCTGTTCGGGTTTGGGAAAGAGACGGTTCTAGAACGGTTCGAAGCAATCACACAGTTTATCAATCAACAATAAAATGAGAACGGTTCGGCTATGATAATTTTCAATAATAAACTGTGCGATTGGTTTGAACCGTGCTAGAACCGCCCTTTTTTCAAACCCCAACAAAACCATTGAGAACCAGTAAGCAATTTTTCGCGAGATAATCAAGCTTAAACTGATTATGCTGGGCTATGTGATGTGTCATACCCCCTACCCAACAAATTTTGGGCTAGCGAGTGACGTCACTATCAGCAGCTTCTAGTGATGACGTCACCCGCAGACCTTGAGAATGCTCGCAATTAGGCAATCCAAACCACGTGACTTTTTTTGACGGATTGTTGGCACACAAAAGATTTTCTTGGTTTAATATTGTCCTTGCGTTCGGTATTTTGCTCAAAGAGTAAACCATGGTGAGCGGAGCCGTAATCACGTGACCAGCGAGCGAACAGAGCAGTCGAGCGCAGTATCCGAGTGCCCGAAATTTTAATAAACGAACGCCAATGAGCCTGCTCCGAGTACACTTTTTGAATAAACGAACGGTAAATTCAAACTCGGAGAACTTTGATCAAAATACCGAACACATGGTGTGTCATTTTCTGTGTTGACTGCGTATTTTGCTGCCTATTGCTTAATTTTGTGAGTTTTGAGACCTAAAAAAACACATACTCACAATAATTTAGAAATATTTTGAAAGGAAATTTGTAAAAAGCTGGAATTAATTATTTTAAAATTTCCAACGTCAAAGGTAAAAACAAGGGACGATAACTGATGACCACTGATGACACAAGAAATTTAGGGTTATGGGCATATGTGTGACAACAATCGGCCATATTTGACACATCGTTGGATTGCCTAATTCAGGCTGTGCTAGTGAGTTAATTTTTTCGTCGATTTAAAATGTAGAAGAGGTGATTTTTGATCTGTTCTCACGTCATTGGTTCTCACGGAAGAAATTGAGTGGTCTTGATCCACAAGGATCCCAGAATTTGATGGTGGGGGAGTTAGGGGAGTATGACACATCACATTATAGTTGTATTAATTTCAAAAGCTTGAAACAATCGAGCTACTCGCTTCGGTGCTTAGTCGTCCCCGATTTGCAGGGAACATATGCGTGGTGCAACAAACACTTTTCGAAAGGAATAAGCGCGTGAAGCCCCGGAGCTGTTCCGGAGCTCCTCCTAGGTGTGAAAGGAATACAACTAATTCTATTCAGCATAATCGATTATGACTGATTATCCTGGAGAAAAATTGTCTATTCTGAAGTCTGGTCTCAAACTTAAATATCGGTGATCGGACCTATAAATTGAATCCGCTTTTATCAATAATTTGGAATAAAAGTGCAGTTCGAACCAATATTTTTGAACGAGTGTCAAATGACTGTTGCACTGGTTCGTAATATTTCATTAGCCGCTTTCCAGCTGACCATTTTGAGCACGCATTCGAACTTTTGCGCGCGCGAATGATTCAAGCGCGTGTTTGTGTTCCAGCCGTACTGCGCTTCGATAGCTGCTAACTTTTGCGTTCCAAACACAGAAAGAACACTGTGCTGCATCGTGCTTGAAGCACAAACACGTGCCAGCTGGTAAGCGGCTATTATTTGTAATCAAATGCTTCATTTAAGTCCACTCCGCTGAACACCCGAACGTGAACGAACCTCTCGATTTAGAGTAAAAAGCTATACCAGAGCCGCTTTCCAGTATGCACATTGGCGCGCTCTGGCGCGCTCCAGAGCACCTCGGGGGCGCCACGCACTGGATTTGTACCGTTCCAGTATCATGACGTCAAGACGCCCGTCTTAGTGTCAAATATGTCAAATTTTAAAAATAAATATCTGTTTGTTTGTGCAGTTTGTTTTTTTATTTATCATAAATGAAAGATAATCAAAACTATATTTTTTAAAATGTTCAATCTTGAGATATAACAAGAAATAAATAGATAAATAGCCACCCACGGATGTGACAGCTGACAGGTTGACGCCTACGTACAGCTCGGGGGCTCAACGCCCCGAGTAGCTCCGGGCGTCAAACTCCCATACTGGAAAGCGGCTCAGATACCAGCATTCCGAATGCGGAACGGACTACTACTGTGCGTTCGGTATTTTGATCTGAGTTCTCAGAGCTAGAATTTACCGATCGTTTATTTAAAAACTGTGCTCGGTGCAGGCTGATTCGTGTTCGTTTATTACAATTTTGAGAGCTCTGATACAGCTTTCAACTGCTCTCTTTGCTGGCTGTTCACCCTATTCTGGCTCCGCTTCAGCATGCTCTGCTCTTTGAGCAACATACCGAACGCAAGCTTCTTGAGTGCACAGAGTCAGCAAGTCATTCAACCGTGCGTTCGGTATTTTGATCTGAGTTCCCGAGCTTGAATTTACCGTTTGTTTATTTAAAAACAACAAAAAAACATATAATTGCATTTTGACTTTTATCTTAAAAAAAAACAGACTTTAGGACTGCTTATTGAGCTGAAAGTGCCATTTTAGCCGCAGTCCTCAACTCTTGGCGTAAAATGCATTAGCCGGGTTCAAAATAAGTCAATAAAACAAATTCCCGAACGTTATAATTCTTAAAATTACCTTTTCTTCATTCAAAATCGACGAAAAAATTAACTCATAAGCACAGCCTGAATCGCAAGCATCCCATCGAGACCTGCGGGTGACGTCACCACTATAAGCTGCTGATAGTGGTGACGTCACTCGCAGGCCCTGCCAACTCGAGAATTGCAAATGTACGCCTTGGATGATGAGGATGCGGATGCGCAGTCCTGGAGGGATATTCTAAAATCACGATTCGACACACGACTCGACAACGAGACGCAACTCGATACCGGCCCGGTTGTCTAGAAAGTATGATTCCAATAAGATTCCAATCTAGGATCGTCGGAAAAATTGTCTCGTGGTCGAGTCGTGTGTCGAATTGGTATTTTAGAATCCTCGGCCAGCAAAGGAGAGCGAACTCAGGGTGCGTGCACGACTTTATCCCGAACGCAAAGCGAAAAGCGAATAATGATCCTATTGATTAAATTAGCTTCCCGCCGGCCCGATGGACATATTTAAAATCAACTAATAGGATCAATTCGCTTTTCGCAACTATATGAACAAGCTTGATAGCGTTTTGGACTATCCCCGCGATCCAAAACGGATTCACATGTTCCAAATAAAACGGAGCGTTGCTCTCGGCGAAATTCACATGTTCGGCTTGAGCTTAGAACGGTCTCGAATCTTTCATGCACGCCGTTTCTTACTCCGTCAAGTTCGATGGATCCAGTCTCTAAAATTCTCCTTTTTCAAAAGAAATTTTTGCAGTGGACTCCATCCATTCACTACTCTCGATAGAAGTTGTATTCCTTTCACACCTAGGTGGAGCTCCGGAACAGCTCCGGGGCTTCACGCGCTTATTCCTTTCGAAAAGTGTTTGTTGCACCACGCATCTGTTCCCTGCAAATCGGGGGCGACTGAACACCGGAGCGAGTAGCTCGAGTGTTTTAAACTCTTGAAAGGAATACAACTAGAGCTGATCGTAAACGGAAAATTGAGAACCGTATTGAACACATACCTCTGTTTTTTTTCAAATTTTCAACAATGGAACAATGGTCAAATGCGAACACCAATGGGATTGCACCGGTCACTTCATGTTTTATAGCGAATTCCACTGGCCGATTTTTAAAAGGTACTAGTACAATATTTATCAAAAATAAATTATCAGTGCAGAGGTTTGGTGCTGCACTTTCTGCCCCAGAGCATTCAATTCTCGTGGAGGATTCTTGACTTTCACTTTCTTGCCGTGCTTCTGCTGATAGCGCTGCTGTTGTGACACTTGTTATCCCTACTCCACCATTCAAATTTCACTCTAACTCCCCTCTCCTTTTCGATTTCGATCAGAGTCTTTTCTCTTTTCATTTTTCATTTCGTATCCATCTTTTTAGCAGTTTAGCTCGTCACTCCGTTTTCTCTTCAGGGTAGACTAAAATTTTCTGAAATTTTACGGTAAAAGAGCGATTTTAATAAATAGAGGTTCATTTAATAGCGTACAGAGAGTTGATCTTTCGATTGACCAAAAAATAATCTAAGAATTTTGAACATTTGACTCAGAAAAAGTGAATTTAAATTAGACATTTAGAGGAATGACGCCCACTAGCTGCCATTATTATGGGCGTTGGCTGGGGTTCGACGTGTAGCTTTTTCATCAAGATTGTGTAAAAACTATTTGAAAATTTGTAGTTTTTAAGTAGTTTTAGGAATATATTTTATAAATAAAGTAATAATTGAAGATTCCTGGTTCCTTGGGCGCTGTAAAATTACCTACATTCTACATTTAGGGGAGCGTATCAAATTACAACAATGGTAAGATATAACGAGTTAAGATATTTTATTTAGTGATAAGCAAGTTATTTTTCTATGATTTCTCTTTTTAGTGATTATTTACGTTCAATATTTCGTAAGCGTAAGTAATTTCGAGAAAATCAAGTTCCTTTGTCTTGGAAGATTGCTAATTGTTTCGGCCATTTTGTGCTTTAGCACGGTGATTAAATAACTAATTTTAACCGCTTTTTAGGAGTTTGAATCTTTAGTTTTGCTTTGAATTAATGCTAGGTGCATTTATGGCCAAAAATGATAATACAAAGTAATTAAAATGTAAAAGCGTGACGTGGATTATTGTCCCATCTGCTACCCAAATTGTCCTCAGTTTTTTCTTGCGCAGTCTACTCAATTTTGTAATCTGCGCAAGAATTTTATTGATTTTTGGCAAGTTGGAACTTGTAGGCCACATGTCGTCATTATGGATTAAAAAATTATTTTTAATATTGCAATTTTCCGGACAAAGTAACCTCTCAAGGACCTAAAATTACCCTTTTCTTGGAAATTGATACATTTCCCATTGATTTTGCCATGTCATTTGGGAGTATTTGTCAAGATTTCCAAGAATTGGGTGGGGCAAACATGTGTTTAGGGAGATATCCTAATTTTTTAAATATTTTTCAGATGCTGTTGGGTAGTTATTATTATTGGCAAGAAAATCCAAGTTGAATAGGAAATTATTGCCCATATTGACCCACTCGGCTCCCTGAGAGAGCTGAAGGTTGAAATGAGAGGACACCATATGCCACAACACCCACACAAGATTTTATGGAAAATGATTTTTTTTTTGTTTAAAATTTTAATCGGAATCTAAAAAAAAATCTAGGACTGCTCGATGAATAAAATCAATTCTGATTAGTATTTTTTCAAATTGCTTGCATTTTTATTCTCAGGAGATTTGCTGCATTCAGTTCTTATGTGATTATGTAGAGGGTGTCTAGCTAACTTTTCAGCTACAGATAGTAGATGCTTAAGCAATCTGGAAATGAAAATTTATATCTTGCCACCAAGACTCACCATTTTTGAACCATTCTCACTTTTTGCTGACAAAATAAATGGCACGAAATACTCAATTTTTAGAGACTGTATAGAGTAGACAATTTTTAGTGAAGTTAATAGCACAAGCAGAATTTTTTTTCCATCAAAACAAGAAAATTAGAGCTTATTTTCAAAATATATGTTTAGGAGAAACTAATCTACAACATTAGGCAAAAAAAATATAAAGAAAGTCTAGAAAAACTGGAAAACAATGATACTTTCTACTGACCCCTTTCTGTATGTGAAAATTTATGTATGTATAGTCTATTTCATTGCAGTTGATTTGAGCTATTGACTGCAATGAAAAAGACAAGTTACTTCCTAAAACCGGTTCGAACAGTTTGCTGAAAAAAAAAAAAAAAAATTGAATAGATTAAGTTTCAGCTTAACTATAACTTTATAGCCTATTCTTCTGCATGTGGCAAAAAAAACCCTATTTAAACATGCTTTTTTATGTTTAAAAGAATGTGGCTAGAAAACAGACTGGTTTTCATTAGTACAGTTTTGTATTTGAACAAAATGAACCTCTGGAATTCAGTATAGTTCAAAGATTATGGTTCTAGCAATATTTTAGGTATAATGATGTTTTCATGTCGTTAGAAGAATTCAAGGTTTACAGAGAAATTTCAACCTCATTAGTACTTATTTAAGTTATTTATAACTAGATGACCCAGTGCACTTGGTACCACCTAGCATTGATTGACTGTAATTTTTCATTAGCAATCCTAATCAACCTTCCAACTCAAATTCATTGAGATTGATAATATCAATTCTTTTTTTTTTAAAGCACCTCATTTTTTAATTTTTTTTTATGCTTTTCCTTATGATTATTTTCTTCTAAAACACCTAGCTCATTCCTATTGAAGCGAGGAGCAAAATCAATCAACATTTCCAAGTTTTTTATCAAAAAATTAGATTTTTTTGATTGTATGGTTTTTCCAAGGGTATTTCCTTTGTTTTTCTCCTATTTTCTTCAATAAACCACCCCTGAATTGTGGAGAACAAACAGAACAAAAAAAATTTCAAAAAGGTTGAGCCATTTTTGAGTTTTTGCGAGACTAATGCAGGCAATTGATTGTTATATTTATAGATTTCAGTATTACTATAGTTCAAAGCATTTCATTATGTGTTCGAAGGTCAATTTTCAAACAATTTTTTCCATGTCATTGATTTTCTATTCAGCCCAAAAAACTTGATATTAATATTTTCTGAAAAAAAAAACAAATGCAAATAATCTTTTGGAGAGCCAAAAGCCAAATGTATCCGCATAAAATGTTCACAAACAGCTAAACAGTGATTATTTTGCTAAGAATTTGTGGAATTTCTCATTTTGTTTGTCAACCAGTGACTATATTGGAATCTTTTAGCAGGCTGTTGGATTGCTTAATAAACAAGGTGTGACAATAATAAGAAATTAATCAACTTATTGAACTTTGTTCATTGCTTACAATCAGGGATTTCCAAATGATCTTCAGTAACATTAATTACAAATATTTTTAAATGAAACCTCTCTCATTTAGATTTAAATAAATTCAATGCAGAGACAAATATATTTATATTTAAAGCAGGTTCATTTCCAAACAATCAAATTTTATCAACAAAATAGGTTTAAGGTAGAAGTTGTCTAGGAGTCTCATCCTTTTAAATTAATAAAAATCGCACCTTCCAAAACATTGCCCTAACAAATAGTGCATCTATAACCCCTTGATACCTTGTACCATTTGCATTTTTCTTATGAACTAGGTCAGCTTGAAGAGAGATTTCTAATCTTTTCAGTTATTTTTGGAACAAAAACCTTGATAGACATGGCATGGTCTGAACGGATCTGGATAAAACCTATGAGGCAGCACAAAAAGTTATTTATATCCCCAAAATTTTAATTATTATGGATGATGCATTCCATTTATATTGACGTCCAAACGACTGCAAAAATAAGCAAACTTAGAATTATTATTATTCAATTATTTAAAGAATATATTGCATTACTTTGCTACCATATTGCTTGAGCTAAAAATAATAGAAAGCAGAATCAATTAATTTTTTTCTGATTCCAATTAAAAGTAGAATCAATATTCCATCAAGAGTGTGTTGGGCATGAGATAAAAAAAAAGCAAATTCAATTGGTTTCCGAAGTAAATAACAGGATGTTTTATAATGTCACCCTAAACACATTGTCAAAACAGAACTTTCTTGTAGATTTGATTTATGAAGTTTTTACTGTTAGTTGGCTCATGAGCCACCAGTAATGTGTTTTCACAAGTCTTTGTGAAGGTATTTTCTTTAGGGCCAAATTATGGACCAACTGGTAAGTGTCTGGTTGTTACCTAGCAGGTACTTTCTATTCTCTAGTGCATACAAAGTACCTGCTAGGTAATAACCAGAAGTTTACCAGTCAGTCCATAATTTGGCCCTTATAGCTACATTGTCAAAGTGAAACTTTTTTGTAGATTTAATTCATTAATTTTTTACTGTTGGTTGGCTCATGAGCTACCAGGAATGTATTTTCACAGGTCTTTGGGAAGGTATTTTCCTTATAACTTGGATTTTAATGTTTACTCCAATGAGACTCGGGTGTACATTTTTAATAATAATTTTTTTCTTTTTTTTTTCTAGCCACGCATTGATCCTCTCCAACTTCTGAAATGCCTCTCGGTGCTGCTGAGCCCCGAAGGTGGCATCCTATCGCGTAATGAGGTACCAAGACTGGTTAGGTAAGAAAAACAATGTTTAATAAAAATTTGTCTTTTTTTGCTATATGTTTTATACTTTTTCTACTTGCGTGCGCAAAGTTATTACTTTGCACACTCATTTGCGTGCGCAAAGTTGAACTTTGCGCACGGACACTCTTTGTGCACTCATTTTTGTTACACATAGTTACCTCATTTATACTCGATTTTTCAATGTTTTGTGGGTTTCTGGATAACCTCATATTCAGGAAGAAGGGCCTGATGTTATTTTTGTTCCAAGTAAGGCATTCAGGTTTAATTTTTTTTTAATTTTACACTCCGTATCAGGAGCGTGGGGAGGAAAAACCCAGCAAAAACAGATATGAGGTCAGGAGACCATTGGCATGGAGAGCTACCAACTCACTCACATTCCTTTGGAGTATCAGATAATAAAAGTTGGACTGTAAGTTATACTCCTCCATACCAAAATTTTGGCAGGAGAAACGAACTTAACGACTTGTTCAAATCTTAAATAAACCTTGCTAGCACAACCAATGTTGCAAATAAAGTCAAGCTGACCACTGAAAAAAAAATTGAAAACACAACACATTGAACTAGAGAAAATTACCAATTTAGAGCATCTGGAAATATTTAAGAAGTTTAGGTAGAGCTCCTCTGGATGTAAATCCTCAAACACTTGTAGAAAAAGTATTGTTCTCAGACAACGTGTTCTTTTTCGTTTTGTAATTACAAAACGAAAAAGAACACGTTGTCTGAGACCAAACTAATTAATGTAATTGTCATGGTTCAGCCCTAGGGCCCCCTTTTTACACCTAAATGTTTTTACACCTAAATGTTTAATGTTTTGCAATAATTTAAATGTATGTTCGTTCCATTAAGTATGTGGTGCTCTTTTACAATTTCTGACTTCGATGTACTCCTGACAAAGAAGCACTGAAGATGGCCTACGGCCGAAAGCGCTCTGCTATTCAATAAAATTTATGCACAGAATACACACTGGGGTCTCCCTTGTCTTTTTCTTCTCTACATCGTTGATGTGCACACAGCCATTTCCCTCATTTGAAAGTTGAATAGTTGTTTGACATTTTACTTTTTGCTACTAAACATACTTTATTTGAATACATAAATATTTAGATATACTGGGTTAAGGTTACTCTCTAAGGTTGAGCTTTGACATGAAAATTTTGGGGATGTAGAATTTCTGAATTTCAACACAAAAATTGTTTGACTTTATATTATCACTTCAAATTCTTAGGAAAATTCTATTAAGTATCATTCATTCATAGATCCTTCACCTAATTGTTACAGTTATTGAGAAAACCTCTTCCATAAGTGTCAAAAAGTAAGTTTTAACTTACTAAAGTGTCAAAACTTTCGACACATTTGAATTGGTCATTGGTCTCTTCTATCAAGGGCGGGTTATAAAACTATTTTGACAAAACAACTAAAAGTTAACTTCTGGAATGACTTTAGTTCTCTAAGTATTTTGACAGAAAACTAAAATTAAGAAAAAGAAAACTTCTTAGTCTTCTCTGCTAATTTTTAATTCTTTGTTGGAAAACTACTAGAACATGTTTCGGAACGTGGAGAAAGAAACGATATAAAAGCCCTTAAAAGGCCATTAAATAAATAATTTCCTAAAATAAGGTCCTGTTTTGAAATTTGTTAAAATTGATGTTTCACTCCACTCCATATCTTCCGATTTTCTTCTTATATAAGTAGGTAGTTTTAACCCTTGAGGGGTGTACATATAGTCCGTTGCATGGTTCTTGAGCTACGACTACTGAATAGACAGAAAGAACAATGGGCTATTGCTGCGATGTCATATCACTAATAATATTTATTATTACATGAAAATGAAGGAAATTTTATTGCAATTTTCATTTATATTAACAAATATTTTCGATATGACAACTGACAACGCAGCAATAGCCCATTGTCCCCTCTGTCTAATCAGTAGCCGTAGGTCAAGAACCATGCAACGGACTATACAATGTGTTTCAGAATAATTTCTGGGTTGGTTTCTAATATAAGTTTGAATCTATGTACACGGTAGCCGGTAGGTCTGTTTTCACAGAAATCGCAAACCAGTCAGAGCAAATTTCATTGGTTGAAAATAGTCAGAAAACTGGTTGTTGGCGATTTGGACCAATTAAAAACGCTCTGACTGGTTTGTGATTTCTGTGGAAACAGACCTCATTGGTGATATTTTCTATATATTTTAAGTCACAAACTCTAAGTTCTCCTTTGTAATTGTAATTGTTTCAGCTGATGATGGGATTCTTATAATCCCAAAACATGTCCTAGTAGTTTTTCAACAAAGAAACAAATAAAAATTAGGGGAGAAGACTGAAGTTTTCTTTTTGTAATTTACAAAGCTCCACTGTTATAAAATGGACTATTTTTTTTTCAATTTAGAAAACTGAAATTTAATAGTAATTCTAGAAGCTAACTTCTAATTTTCTTCCAAAATAGTTTTATAATACCCACCCAGTCATATACTAGGGAAAATTGAAAATTAATATTCCATAAAAAAGGAAAAATTTCCTCAAGGTGGCCACACTGTAGCTTAATTTTTTTTCACATTAAAGGGGTTTTCAAACACTTGACACCGGTAAATACCATTCACTATCGGTATTTGTTTTATTTGATTATACTTATTTAATTGTGCTTACTTATTATGTAATTATTTTTGTAAGGGGGGATTGATGGAAATAAATAAATAATAAATAAAAAATTCACCAATTCGATTCAAGGGGTCTTACCTATCTACCTGTTATTTGTGGTTGGCGGATGTTTGCTTTCCATTTATAGCCTATCTTCATAAGGCCAGTGTAAGATTAAATCTCAAGCCCTCCACCATGCCAAACCACCAGTGATGACATACATAGGCAGCGTGTCGTTTTTCGCCTTGATGCTGGATTATGCTTTATTAACACTTGGTTTTAGTACAGGGTGATCTATTTTGAATGTCACCCCTCCTAACTTTATCGTTTGACGTTTTTGACAGAAGTGTTAAATACAAATTACCTCGCCAAAAGCTTTAAGAAGTTGTCAAAAGTTTTTAACTACTTTAGTTTTGAGTATACAGGGTGCGTCGAAAAAGTGTAGCAGAGTGGAGTTATATATTTTTTTAATGGGACACCATGTATATTTCAGGCACTGTAATGTACAAAATTCTGGGCTGTTTGCTCTAAACAACGGTCAACACAGTTTTTAAAAGAGTTTACACTATTTGCGGATACTGTACTTTCTTCAAGTGAGTTCAACATATACACAATCCGATTTGTGAGGAAATTCTTTCTTGGAAGTGATGCCGATCTTTCCTTGCTTAATTTTTTTGAGTGTCCGCAAATCTTGAAGGTTTCTATCAGATCACCCCTAGTTCTTCTTTGCTTCAAAGTAGTTAGCCCAAATATTTCCAGTCTTTCAGGATAGGTTAGTCCTCTCAACTCGAATGGAATTCTGGTAATCCGCCTTTGAACCCTTTCCAAAATTTCTATGTCTTTGATGTAGTAGGGGTTCCAAATACTATAAGCATACTCGATTTTGGGTCTGATATAGGAGGCGTACAACTTCCTCACAATCTGAAGAGAGTTATCTTTGAAAGTCTTTTGCACCATGAAAATAAAACTATTGGCCTTTTTCACTATCCTATTTATATGGTGCTCCCATTTCAAATCATAAGAATTCAGCACACCCAGATTCGTTTGCTCAGCAACACTAGTAAGCTGAACATTATTTAGGAAGTATGCTTCATGTGGATTATTCGGACCAATATGCAGTATTGTACATTTTGATGCATTGAGCCTAATGTACCACTGGTCCGTCCATATCTCAATTGGCCTTAGATCCCTATTCAAGTAGTCCCTTTGTAACAATGGATTACAGAACACCTTGGTATCATCAGCAAAGAAAATGATGTTTGTCTCAATGTTCCATGACAAATCGCTAACAAAAACCAGAAACAGTGATGGTCCCAAAACAGACCCTTGAGGGACCCCACTCATAGCCGGATGTTTATCAGACAAAATACCATTCACCCTCACCTGATAGAAGCGGTTGGTGAGAAAGTTGTTGATTAATCACTTAGTCAATTAGTCACCTTCAACCGGATTTCAACGATATACGGTTTGATAGGTTCATCTTCAATAGTTATAGGGAAAAACGCGAAAGCCCCTTTATAGGTCTCATATTAATTTTTTTAAAAATAATAGTAATACCTTGAAACAGCTGGATTTATTTGAATATTTCACCTTGAAATATATCAAACCGTATACCGTTGAAATCAGTTTGAAGCGGACTAACAAATGAGCGCACAATATACATGGTTTGCTAAACTTTCCTGACGCACCCTGTATTAGAGATGTTATATACAGTTACTTTTGACTACTCGTAACTATTCGTTACTTTTTAGTAATGTACTCGTTACTAAATATTCGTTACTCAAATACTCGTTCTGACTGGAATATATTATTGAATCTAGTCGAAGGTTGAATAAACAAAAATATGTATGATGATAATAATATTTATTATAATATTATTTGTTGGTATAAGCTTGGTGTGCAATGCGCATAGAGAATTTTGATTCGAGTACTCAAATAACTATAGCGCCGGCGATTTCTGTATTCGTTATTTAGGATCCGGGCAAGTAACGAGTACTCGAGTAACGAATAGTTACTTTTCTGACACCTCTACCCTGTATGCATAAAACTGATAAAGTTAGGAGGGGGTGACATTTATAATAGATCACCATGTACATTAATTAACATTCTTAAAACAACCCTCTTTTAGATCTCATGTGCATCTTTCTCTTTGCCTATCATGTTAATCAATATAAAGTAATATTTTTCATCATAAATGTATATTTTAAACTACAACCGCTGGCGAAAACATCTAATGACACTGTTGATGACGTCGGTAACGGTGCACCACCATATGACCTTGATTCCAAAAATTGAGGCCGATAAGCAATCCTGTAGTAGTGTGTAATTTCCCTGGCAAGAACTGGCCTCAAGTTGTTATAGGATATTTAGGCCTATGATGTATCATTTTCTGTTATTTCAACAGCAACGTTAAGTTATCTATAACTGATAACTGTTTATCCTATACCTACATCAAAATAGGGACAGGTATTATAGATGTTGATTTATACTATAACCAGGGTCGGATTAAGGTCTTTTGGGGCTATTTTCGCAAAAGGGGCCCCTAAGTCCCTGAAATAAATTCAAACGTCACTCAAAATTTTACCTTATTGCAGATTAAAAAAATGTAATTTTGGACTAACTGTTTGATTTGGAATTTTTTTTTCTTGAATAAATATTTCTGAATTATCCACCACTATCACCGTACTTGGGTAGTATCATTTTTAAAATTTGTTTTTTAAATCAAAATAAAAATTAAAAAATTGGCAAATAAAAATTATTGCCATGTAATCAGCTAGATATAGTAGTTTTCTACAACTTTCTCGTATAAATATTTTTGATATTATGCATATTAACGCCAAAAAGTTATGATTACAGAATTACTGGTGGTTAACGCTCTCAATGTAAAGGGGCCCACATACTGCGTTTTTGTTGGACAGTTCTGTTGTACGTGCAAATCTGATCGAGCAAAAACGACACAAAACCGAAGTGTGTGTGCGAAAAATTGTCGTTTTTGCTGGCATACAAAACCGATGCAAATATCTGGCTTCACCTGATTTTATCTTCGAAATGTCAACAAACCTGAAGTGTGTGGGCTTCGAATTTTAAAAACGACGGTTTTGTTTGGTGTAAATTATATGCATGATTTCTTCCCCGCGTGAGGTGGTGTTTTGGGGGCCCCCCTCATTTCGGGGCCCGGGGCTTTAGCCCCCAAAGCCCCCCCCTTAATCCGGCCCTGACTATAACACACATGCTAATAGCTATATATTTATGTACCTAGGGGATTATGCAGATTTTAATGCCCAGGGATTTATTTCACCTGAAGGGAATTATAATCATGGTGCATACAATGCTTTATTTTCTACTCAACACAATGGGTAGTATAAATAAAAACGAAGTACTTGCTACTACTACAAGTATTGGTATATTCTACACAGTATTTACTTTAAAAACAAGTTACTAATTTCCGGTAGTTTCGAAACGTAGTATCTACTTCGTTATAAAGTAAATACTACAGATAATATACTAATAATTTTAGTAGTAGCAGATACTTCGTTTTTATTCAAACCACCATTACCACCCATTGTTCTATTTCATCACTTTAGTATTAAACAAAATCAGTTAAACTTGTGTGACAGAATATTGTTTTGTGTTTTGATCTACCTGTATAACAGGAGCAGGAGAGGATACATCATAGGCCTGATTGTATATGCAGTTGCATATGGATTTGCTTCTTCTTTTTCTTGTATTATTTTAATTGTATCATTTTCTATACAGTTATTACTGTTACATTCTTTAATTATTTTTATTATTCTATACTTGTATTACTCTATAGTCTATACTCTAGTTAGTTCTTGATTGAACAATTGTCCAAGATACTAAGGACATTTTATTTTATTGAGTGAAGCCCCCTTGATGAATACTTAAATGATGAGATTTTCCATGAAATTTGATACAATATACACACTGACCCATATGAAATGAAGAAGTTGATGACAAGAAGCCCATGATTTAACATAAAAATAACCAGTGGAAACCCATAATGACTTTCTGAGATGTAATTCTGAGTATTTAACGTTTTTTTGATGTTGTTTGACTTTTTGCTTTTTTTTAAAGTTATTTATTTCAATTTTCATTCTCTTGAATTATTCTCACCACATTAGATGAAACTCTGGATTCTAAGGTATGCTTCCCAATCTGGTTGCTTTTATCAAGTTTCAGTAACGGGTCTTCAAAAAAAAAAACCATATGGCATATGGCTAGGATTTGTTGAACGTATGTCTTAGGCTGAAGACACAATCACAATACAAGGTTCAAGAGACAGATACAAAATACCAAAAAATCGAAATTTTGTATCGTGGCATGGCAAGTGAATTGTATCTTGTATCCACTTATTTGGGTTATAGCATTGATACACATGTTATTATATATTTTTTTTTTGAAGACCGGTTATATGTCCTAGGTAGATATATTTGCTGACTTTTCCACAGATTTTCCATGGGTGAGATTTCTTCCTCTTTTCGGCGTTATTTGTATTCACTTTGGTTTTTGCCATATCACCTTGGAGGCTATTTCTTCCAATGCACTTGCCAGCTGACTATTTTGGGAACATCCCATCCCCCTATCTGATTGGGATGGGATTTTTTTTCTTTCCCACATTTACTGTTGATTTCTGTAGATGTTATGAATAGGCTAAGCTGCCAATTCCAAGAGTTTTTCATCATGGAGCTTATTTAATTGCTACTTCTCCTAGATTGTTAATCTCCAATTCTAGGACATCTGGTATATTGATCCAGATAGACGCTTTTCATAGCTAAAGCGATTTAGTTCTTCTCCATTTTTCATTGTCGGTTTCATCTTCATTTTTTATTTGAATGGTTTTGTTGGTGCTGAGTCTTGGGTTTTTGGGCCTATATTCTCTTTTGAGCATTCATCAACTTTTATCATTGCTTGGATTTTTGTTTTTTCCTTGCCTGCTACTTTCTGCATCTTACAGCGTTGTCTACAACCCTTTGATTGTCCATCATAACTGCTTATCTGTTTTCATAGATTTCTAACTGTTTAATGTGAACTGGTACAAGACTAATCTAAAGTGAAGTTATCACTTACATATCGCTGAGTTATAGGCTCTGGCCGGGGATTCTAAAATCACGATTCGACATACGACTCGACAACGAGACGACTTTTCCGACGATTCTAGGTTAGAAATCTCATTGGAATTATACCTTTCGACACGACAAGGCCGGTATCGTTGTCGAGTCGTGTGTCGAATCGTGATTTTAGAATCTCGGCCCTGGTATATATTAAAAAATCTTTTCTCCAGGACTATATTTGTGAATGTTATCCTTTTAGATACAATCTCTAGCAGCGTAAGAATATAAAGCTTTTACAAACTTGATTTTGCGTCATTTTAGGTCTATAATCACTGAATTTCTTTCTCTGGGTGCTGATAAGATTCCCAAGAAAAAGATAGTATTGTGATATAGTACTCGTAACAAATTTCCTGAAAATGCCTGAATCTTCAGTTATTAGTTACCTACCCTCTTGTGTGAAAAAAAAAGTTTTCAATTATTGATAACCACTCTGGGGCAGTTGTTTGAACACCCTCCAACATCCAAATTTCAACTTCCCTGTTAAAGAAATGAAATCCATTGAAAATGCTTCTTGACTCTTGATATTTACATATTAGTTTTTGTTTCTATTAAATCAGTAATGTTCAAAATTAGAATTAAATCTTATATGAAACATCTAAAATAGGAAACTATTTGAAATGGTTAGAGATTCTGTTCACTCACGTTTTTCTCCTGCACAACATCACACTATATCCAAATTGTATAATTCTCTGGGATTGTTTTTCATGGTAGAACAAATAAAATTCAATTTAATTTTTAAGTTAAAACAGCGGTTGCGGTTCAAACAGTAAAAGTGTGGGCATGCACCTTCAATGAGATAGTGAAGTTTTTCTCGATGAATATTTATTTTTAAAATTAGAACTCAGATATTTTTTGAAACTAAAATCCTAATACTTAAAGAAAGTTCCAACTAAATTTTTAACAAATTTCATTGTTTCTTTTCAGTTTGATGACGAAATTCTCCAAGAAACTGGTCAGCAAATGCGTCTACGTGCTGATCCTGAAAAACACCGAAACCAGTCTGGTCGACATGTTCATGGCCGAGAACGGATGGACCTTGGTCCAGTCTTGGTTGCAGGACGCCGTCCCGACTGGAAATTGGGATTTGGTGAAGGAGATTCTGGAGCTTCTGCTCGTCACGCCAGTGGACGTTGACAGACTGAAATTGAACTGCCTGCCCAAGCTCATTAAGAGCTTGACTAGGAAGGAGGGTCAACCTGGTAAGTGAATGTTTTTATCTGTATATTCTAATACTGAGCTATTAATGTTATACTTATAAAGTTCCAAAGCCCGAATTAAAAATATTCAAATAACGAAATTTAACAAAATGTAGAATTGATGTTATTTATGAATTAGTAAGTGTTCTAAATTTTAATCAATTGAATGCTGAGTTGCAAAAATAAATTGTCCTCGAAATTGTCCAAAAATCATAAACCCTAACATAACATAAGTATGTAATAGGACTAGTAGGTGAAGGACAGGTGAAAGACAAAAACAGAAATTGACTTTCTGAAATTCTCTATTTCTATCCAATTCAATTTGAACTGAGTTGATAATAAAAATTCCCTATTCTTCTTCTTCTCTTCTCTAACCTGTTATCATCTCACTTGACATAGGGCCTCTCCCAATTTTTGCCAGCAAACTTTTGATATTGAGCCTTTTTTTTCCAGGGTAATTATAATTACTGCAATTAGTTTGAGTTCATCGATCCATATCATATGTAGTCTACCCCTTGATCTGTGCCAAGCATATGGCCTTGATTATCTAATGTCTGACTATGTTTTTTTGGTCTTTCTGTCTTAAAAATGTCCTCTAGTTTAGATGGGTGACTGTTGATGGTATACCTTCAATGAACACCATCATATAGTAGATGATTGCAAGTTCTAAAACTATGGCAAAGCCCAGTATGTTCAATGGTTTTTATGAACTTGTACATTTGAGAAAATAACGTGATGGGACCATATTTTGGAAAATGAAAATATACGTAACTTTTATTCTTTATGGTTTCAAGACATCCTCACACAATACTTTTATACTCTAGAGATACCAAAAGGTACAATAAGGAGAAAGAAAAGCTCAACAAGAATCAATTAAGCTTGGAAAATTCTGAGCCAAGAAAGTAAATGAAAACAAGTTTATTTCTGTATTAAATTATCTATCTAGTTCTAGTAGATTTGTTGAACTTTAAACTATACAAACTGCAGCAAATAAGTAAGATCTAGATACCATTACCATTATTTCCGGTAATTCTTTTATAATCTGCAGAAAAATGGTTCCCTTATAAATAAAATATATCTAAAATTACAAAGATAATAATCATGAAAATGATACATAAGGATAAGGACGATCTATGATGTTCTAGAATTTTTTGAATCCTAAAGTTACTTCAGGAGAGACATATTTTTTTAATCCCCTGACTTTGGTCAGTTAATAATAAAGACCATTGAACTAATCCAATAAGGCAGGTTACAGGAATGGATTGATTTCTATCCACACACAACTGCTATTTTAATCTATCAAATTATTTAATGATACAATAAATTTCAAGTCAGTTTTATTGTGTTTTCTGATTTGATCTATTTCGAATTTGGAATTTGTAGTGTAATTAACATTTTTCAAGGTTACTATAGATTGTTTATAGCACATTTGTTCCAATTTAGGTTGCCTTGACCTTCCTTCTACCTGAAGGATATTTTTGTAACATTCTTCTTTGGCTTGTGGCTTGTTAACTTATTTTCTTTTTTTGCAAAGCAAGAAGTTTTCCAAATATGAAATATGTAATCCAAATTCTAGTAAATTTTTAAAGTAGATTTAGATCATTTTTTCCGCAAGAAAAGGATAGTGGTGCATGACCATGCAAAATGAAAATACTAACAATATTTCTCCAAAATTGCTGTGAATAAGTTGGCAACCCATTATTTCAGTAAGAGCCTTTGCCAAATTGCCAGGCAAGGGAGATAAGCAAATTATAGGCTTATTAGAGTCTATACAAATGCTTCGAAATGGTCAGAGCTAACGAAATTACTTCATTTTTATTAATTGATAAGTGAGCAACCAACATGGAGTATTGTGAAAAAGATCAACCATTACCATATTGACAAAATGCTTAGATGTTTGGACAGAAAATTATGAAGGAATTAACCTCATGTATTAGGTTTTAAAAAGACATTTGATAAGAGTCTATTCAACAAGATTGCGAAATTGCCAAAAAGCAAGAAACTTGAATAAAACCTGGAGAACAATTTTGCCTACACAATTTTTTTCTCGAGTGGTATTCGTCATAACTATTTCACGTAAGATTTTGAAAATAAATAGAATGCAAAAATATGAATAAAAACTTCAAATTAAAAATACCAGTTTGACAATGTCAAAAAATGGTCGCTGAAATACCATGTTGTTCGTTGTTGGTATTGTCCAGGTAGCAATATTGTCAGGTGTATACCGAATTTATTGCTGGTGTGATACACTCTAGTGAAATAGTCATCAGAATTAATGGAAATCTATCATCTATCCACCAACCATCCAGTGGAGATAAAATCCATAGGTAATAATATTTTTCGAGGTTGATGCCGAATTCTTTAAAAGTTCACAAACTCAAAATCTGCTTTCTCATCTATGGAGCAAACTCCCATTGTAGCCATCCAATCAAACCTGGAATATGTTGAAATGATTAGAAGAAGCTTCAAGATTCTTGTGGAGGGTGAATAACCAGAACAATGCATTTTGGGGAAGACGAGAATAAGTGTTGAACCGTTCTGAATGCATCCCAAATAATTTCTATTTCATTACGGTTCCTGTTTCCTACTTTTAATTCAACAAAACTCGAACGTCTAGCTTGATTTTAACTGGGCATTCTCCAGACAGGTGTCTTTAAACCAGTGATTGCACCAGCCTGAGTCACGTTCTTCGAGTCTCAAGCTCTGGAGCTATTCGTTCAGTCATTCAGAGTAACTCCCAAAAGGAAATCTTTTAAATCCAACAGCTCCAGGTTTGATATTCGATTCACATGTAAATTCTTTTTTTTTTTTAAGGTAAAAGTCAAAATGACATTATGTTGGCAATAAAATGTAAAATTGTCAATGCTTTCAAATTTTTTATGTAGAAAAGGCTTGTGTTGCCAACATAGTTACTAAATTTTTGACTTGGGGAATTATCTTTAATGTTGCATTCATGACAAATTTTAAGAACAAAACTAAAAAACTAAAAAAAAAACAGATTTTATATTTTTAGTTTTGTTCTTAAAATTTGTCATGAATGCAACATTAAAGTCTGTTTTTTTTTTAAAGATAATTCCCCAAGTCGAAAATTCAGTAACTATGTTGGCAACATAAGCCTTTTCTACATAAAAAATTTGAAATCATTGACAATTTTACATTGTATTGCCAAATGTCAATTTGACTTTTATCTTAAAAAAAAAACACAGTAGTAAATGGTGTTATAATTTGCTCTCACAAACTATTCAATTTTCTTCAATGCACTTTCGTCTCGATGTCGTTATTACCCAGTTGCAAAACAAAAATCATTGCAAATTCAGTTACATATTTCTAGCCAGTCGCTTTGCTTTTTCAGAGAATTTAGTTGATGGAGTAACAAGCCCCAACCAGCGATGTAAGGCTTCAGGGAAAAAGAAATAAGCTCCGAGAATGAAATGATCCTATTTTAAGCTCGGACTCACTTGCAGATGTAAAAAAACGTAACTAAGATCTGACTTAATGCAACCCAAACAGTTCCCCGAATATAGAGTTTCTCATTTTTACTTCGGACAGGTGTTCTAGAACAGTAGATTGTACGAACCCGAAAAACCCTGATGTGCATGTGTTCAAAACTGCAAAAGATGGCCCTTTAACAGCAGTTGCTAGGGAGTTATCAAACAAAAAAATCAATAAACTGCTTTTATTATTTTTGAGTGTATTTGTCAGTCACAAAGTCAGTGAAAGTCAGTAGTCCAGTATTGTGGAGCCGTGTTGCCGAACAGTAAGATAATCTCGGAATGCTAGAGTCTCGTGAGTCTAATAATTTAATTATAGAAAAAAAGTTGATAATTTATTGTAAAATAAAATCAATGATAAACATACTGGAAAGTCAAATATTAGGAAATATGGGCTTGGCCTTGATCCTTGTTTAAAAGGGGATTAACTTCACACCGCCCCAGGAAATTAAGTATCGATCCAACCAAACCCAAACCAATATTTCTTTTGAACGAAAATCTAAAGGAACTACTCGCAATTTTTAGAATTTCTAGACATCAAATTCTAGCACATAACAAGAACAGACAAAAACATTGAAGAGCAATAGACAAAAACAGCCAGAATTTTAAGTCTAGAAACATTTAGGCCCGGTTGAACATCTTGAGTTTAAGTAGCGTATTAGTTGAACCTTGGTATTTGAATACTTTTCCATTTGAAATGCATTGCTGTGTCAGATATATGCCAAATGGAAATTTTTTGACAACATTGCATTTCAACTGAACCACTATTTGAATTTAAAATGTACCTAATGTACAACCCGGCCTTTAAGTTTGAGCAGATTCTATAAACAAAGAGTTTCTGAATTTATTTATGTAGGTATTTATTTTTTTGGTTGGTCTTGGTGTGGTCTGGTCCTGCTTTCATATGATAATTTTTTTTTTACTGGGGTTCTTCACTTCTTATCTTCAAAAGGGCAATTTAGCTTCTGCATTTGAATGTTTCGGGAAAGTCTTCTGGTTCTAGAAATGTTTCCGGACTTTTGCAATTTTCCTTTCTCAATAGAGGAGGGTCGATGTCTTTCAAGTGTCCAATGATATAATAGTGGAATAGTTATGAATGTCTTGGTTGATCAAACCTGTTCTAAGGAATTGATGCAGCAGAAGTGCAATATTTGTGAACCACCGCTATTAGTTTACATGTCAACATATAATATTATCAAGGCAATTGCCAATATCATGTGTTTTTTATTGTTTAAAGGACTCCACATCATTTGAGAGTCTCAAGTCCAAATATTAACCTTATTATTCCTTTCTGGACCACATACACAATATTCATCTCGGGGAATTACGTTTACGTAATTGTGTGTGATTCAGCATTTGTATGTATTGATCACTGGACAAATCTTTGATTACAGGGAAACAAAACAGTACTAGATATTTATCTGGAAGACCTTCCAAATGCTTCATACAGCTTAGGCTGTTTTATTTTATTCTAACTTCACCTGTAGGATGTGTTTCGCTGTGAATGTACCTTAATCGTCGAAAGTTTGTTGCATTTGAGTTCGCTCTTTTACTGAATAAACCCATTTCTAAAGTGTAACAGAAAGGTAAGACCCTGCTATTTACCAATGTGGTTGCTACTCGAATCACCGTTTTGACTGGTTCAATTAATGTGGAGTTTATCTCATTTTTTGACAGTTTTTTTTTTTTTTTTCATCTTTTATTTCGCACCTGAAAACAGTAGGTACCAAAATCCCTTTCATTATTCACAACACACTGTATTTCAAGGATCTGATATGTCATTACACCCAAGATTTATTATTACAGAAAATCATTCTTCAATGTACCATGTCACCAAAAGTATCTGGGACAAAAATAATTCATAATAATTTCCTGGACTAATGCTACCATCATTCTTTTTATTCATAGTTTGACAAATATTTGACACAAAAAATTATATAAGGTACCTGTCCCAAATAAGGCCACGTTAAGAAGTTTTATTTTTCCCTAACATTATCCACCAAAGCTAACAAAAATCATGAGCTTATATGTGTAGTGTTTCGCTTCTATTACTTGAATATTAACTTAAATTTATTAATTTTTTTTATATAAGTGATGTTTTTTGCGTAAAACAAAGACGCTCATCATTGGCCTTATTTGGATCACTATGCTCCTAATAAGGCCATCATTAAAAAATGTTTAAAATAAATACAATTATTTATAAAAATATTATTATTTGAGAAATACTACACAAAATAGAACTTATTCGTTTGCTGCATTCCTGAAAAAACAATAATTCCAAGTCCTGAGATGGTAATCCAGATATGTCTACATACAACTAGGACAAATGAACCGCAGCATCTCTTGCTTGGTTAGACTCCAGGCATCTCAAAAAACATCACTTAGGTAATAATATGACACATTCTTTAAAAAAACACTGTGATGTGAGGCCGATTGAACATTTTTCGTATGATGGCCTTATTACGAACATGTTAAATTGATAAAAAAAAGTCTGTAACTAGAAATCTAGCAAACATTTTATTCTGTACTTACTCTGTAGCTTTCTCAATACATAAATGTCTGTTAAAAAATTACAATCGCTCCATTCACTTTATAAACACGTAAATAAGCTAATTGAGTTCCAGCCTCAAAGTTATAACGTGACATATGGAATATGTGGTTGGCCATTTTTTGACATATGACTAGTTGCTAGGAATCCTTGCAATAATTTTTGATTTGCATTATAGATTTCTTTTTTAATAATATTGTAATTTTTGGAAATGGGATTCAATATTAAGCAATAAACGGACCTGGCCTTGTTAGGAACATGGCCTTATTTGGTTCAGGTACCTTAATAGTACAAGAGCTAATATGATGCTGTCGCAGTTACTTTTGGTGACGATGGTACCGGGTGATTGTCTATATTTTGCACCCACACCTACCTCAGCTGTTTGAAGAGATACCCAGATATGTCAAATGTGAAAGTTGTAGATAATATCAGAAAGTTTTCAATGATGTTAGTTACAAATATACAGGGTGTGTCACAAAAGTGCGGCGAAGCAAAGTTTTACTTTTTCAAATGGAAAACCCCGTATACTATTGTCCTATTGGATTAGCATTTCGAACCCGATTTCAAATATACTAGGTTTTTTAGGCTTATTCCTGATAGTCTAGGAGAAAATAGGACAAAAAGGGTTAGAATAATTGCATTTTTATTGAAAAAGGTGAAATATAGAGTCCCCCAGCAAAATTTAAAGATAATCATTCATGTAAAAAATCCATATCATTTCTTCATAATATGATATTCAGAGACTGGACTATGAGGGGTAAACCTAAAAAACCTGTATATTTGGAATCAGGTTTGAAAGGCTAATCCAGTGGGACAATAATATGCGGGATATTCCATTCAAAAAAGTAGAACTTTGCTTCGCCACACTTTTGTGACTCACCCTGTTTGAAAACTTTCTGATATTACCTACAACTTTCACTTTTGACATTTCTGTCTATCTCTTCCAACAGGTGAGATAGGTGTGGGTGTAAAATATAGACAATCACCCAGTACATACAATTCAAATGTTTATTAAGTATTCTTCTCACTTCTTGTAAGGTACCAGGTGTCAAGTTATGTACCACCACCTGTAACTTTTTTATGTAGGATCAAAAATAAAAGAGTTACAGGTGGTGGTACTTTATAACTTGACACTCTGTACAGTACAACTTTGTAAGGTTTATTTTATTCATTATATGTTTAACGTTCTGTCTGATACTATGTGGCAATAATATTCTGTACTTCACCAGTATAAATTGATCCTCGATTTTATTAATAGTTGAGAATGTTTTTACAGTATTCAAGCTTAAGGGTGTGTTTGTATCACTTTGTGTTATAGTATTTTTCAAAAATAGAATTCTCAATAATTAGGTAATTATTGGTCCTGGAGGTTTGACAAAAACCTACAATTTTTGTGGCCCAAATTTTAAAAAACTTCAAATAATGAATACTCAATGAAGTTAATCATTATGTAACAAAACACCAATGAGATTTTACAGCGGTGTCCCTAATTTTCTATAGCTTTCCCACATTCCAAAGATTCTATTTTTAGATTTCTCCAAAAGTCTATGATAAACTAATAAAAAGACGTTGATCATACAAATTATATGAAAGTTTATGTCAACCAATGTAATTGTAAGAATTCAGTGATGATTTTATATAATATGATGCTGGGAAAAATCCCAAACCCGCGCATACTTGTTCAGGCGTTATAGTAAATCAGTAGGTATGGATGAGATTTGTCAATTAACCTAAAAACCTTTGTTACTAGTGTTACTACACAACTATACAAATACAATTTTGTTCAGTATACAATTTATTTGGATTTTGAACTGACACTAGAATAAGAATGGTCTTAAACAGTCTCATAGGGAAACTTAATTCAAGATAATGCTTTTCTACTCTAATTGATCAATAAATCAATTTCTATTATAATTTCTGTATTGTTTCAGAAATTGCAAGGCTCTCAGACCGAATTGTTCAAAACTGGTTGATGATAGTCAAAGGTTCAGCTTCCAGCATAGCTGCCTCTGGTCCAGCGCTGGTTCCAGTTCCAATGCCCAAGATTGAAGCGCCTGAGTTGAAAGTTGAAAAAAATGAAACGAAGTTAGAACCCATAGAACCTAAGAAAGAAGCTGATGAGGTAATTGATGAAAATACAGGCCCTATCAAACCAGATAGTTTCTATAAGTTAACCGTTAAAGATGGCAAGCAAGTTATTAAAAAACTATCTGTAGAAAAAGACAATGAAAAAGATGAAACTGATAAAAAGAATGACAAAGAAAAGTCTTCAAAATCGAGTTCGTCTTCAAGAAGTAAATCAAGTTCCAGTAGCCGGGATAAAGACAGGAGCAAATCATCGAGTCGTTCTGGAAGCAGCAGCAGCAAATCAGGCAGTAGTAGTAGTAGCAGGGATAAAAGTAGAGATAAAGATCGCGATAGAAAGGATAAAGACAGAAAAGGTTCATCATCAAAATCAAGTCCAAAAAGCAGCCATTCTAGTAGTAGCAGCAGCAGCAGCAGGAGTAAAGATAAAAAAGATTCCAGAGAAAAAAGCAAAGATTCTAAAGATTCCAAAGAAAATCAAACTGAAAAAGATAAAGACGCCTTGGACAAATTATTAAATCCAAAACCTTTCAAATCGGCAAGGATACCTAAACTATCATCAAATGATAAGCCAAAAGAAAATAAACCCGATGAAAAGCCAAAGGAAAACAAACCCGAACCTGAAGTAAAGAAACCATCTTATTCCATATTGAACCGCAAATCTACAGGCGAAGAAAGAGGCAAAACTGTGAAAGTCTTCAACTCCAAGATGCGTTCCACTGGTTTGGAAGAAATAGCAAAGCCACCTCCGAAACGTTCCTCAAAAAAACCAACTCCTTCCATCCAACTACCCACGATTCCACTGAAGCGTCCATCGCCACCTAGAGAATCCTTGGTGCCTCCCGAGAAGAAAATTAAAATCGACAAAGTCGATAAACCCGATAGGCCTGGCGCCATCAAGCTGATTGCTCCTAAACCAAAACGTGAGTTGATTTTTTTCTTAGTTTTAACAAAGGTGTTATTTTTCAGGTTTGGTCTACAGAGGACAAGAGAATCTAGTGAAGGTGGAATGAAATTGGCAAGAGTTTTGATGTTTCAGGTTTTAAATATTATAGTTTTTTCGGAAGCTATATTATTTAATGGTGCGCGTTATGTTTTTTGATTTATTTCTCACGTGAGTTTTAAAGAGTTAATCGCGTAAGTGCAGCAATTATTATCATAAATCTCTATAGTATTAAGGGTGCTCCAGGGTAAGTTTTTTTTATGATTATGTATTTCTAAAATTTTGTTGATTTTTTGGGTATTGATACACCACATCAAACTGATTCAGGGTGGGTATTATAAAACTATTTTGACAGATAGTGAAAAGTTAACTTCTAGAATTACTATGGGAAGTAACGTCATTCCAGAAGTTAACTTCTAAGTTAACTGTCAAAATAGTTTTATAATACTCGCTCTAAGTGTGGTGTAATTTAAACTATATTGTTGATTTTCCTTTCTATTTAAAAAAAAAGTATTGAGGTAAGTAGATAGGTCAAGAACCTATATATCCAGTATGCTGCTGGGTAATTCTTAGTACTTGCTTACAACTTACAATAAATAAAAATTTAATACACTCAAATTGCAGTTTTATTTACCTAATTATTTGTTGGTGGTACATGATATCCCTATGGAGCTAACCTTGACCTTGATGATGAGTAATTTGTTTGATGAGAATAAATTCCATTAGGCAATTATTCAGTATGTATGATGTTTTTGTTGGAAAAGTAATCAATCAGTAAGTAATTCTATTAAGGGCCCCACACACTACGTTCTATCTTGTCGGTTCGTGTTTCATCGTCAGCCTGTTTTCACCACATACTACGCGATTTTTGGCAGTTGGACCCACATACAATGGTTTTGGAACGAAATGTTGCCAAAAATCAAGCTCGGACTGAATTTTAAACCGACGTTGAGACACGACGGTTTTCTACCACACTGGTTTTAGATCGTCGTGTTTCATCATGGCGATGAAAACCGACAAGAAAGAACGTAGTGTGTGGGCCCTTTAGGAAAACATTTAAGCCCCTATAAATACTTTTTTCTACTACCGTGCGTAAAGTAGTCACTTTACGCACTATTCAGAAGACGTGAAATTACACTTCACGCACTAGTGCGTAAACTAATTCACTTCACACACTAGTGCGTAAAGTAATGTCAATGACAGATGTCAACACTGTCAATGTAATATTTTTCTGGTAAATTACTTCACGCGTAAAGTGAAAATACTTCACGCACTAGTGCGTAAAGTATTTGTCTAAATCTATTTTATTACACATATTTGATTGGTAGTAGAAAAAAATTTGTATGCAATACGTGCGTAAAGCACCTTTTTTCACTCATGTGATTGTCGCACTCGCCTTCGGCTCGTGCGTCAGGTTCACTTTACACACTTGTTGCATAAATAACTATTAACTACAACTTGTTTCAATGAGAGATTTCAAAATTAAAATGATACTTTCCTTATAAGGGGGAATGTAATGAGCAACCGCTCCAGTAATTCTGATTCTAAGCGAGAAGTTTTTTTTTAATAACGCATACTTTTAAAACAACAAAATTCAAATTTCTTAGTTCATGTAATTTGATTTTTGAAGTATGCATATTCCAGTACAGATCATTAAAACTTAAACGTCTACATGGAACAAGATTCATTCAAGATTTCAGAAATTGGCCTATGTAGTTTTCCAATCCCAGCTGTTCAGTATTGGAGTAAATGTAGTTCAAATACGCCAGTCCTCATGCTATTTTTCAGAGGCATTCAGATATTGACTTGCAATTTAAAGGCCTGTACTCGGGTACAACATTCTGCCTTTATTCTAAAGGGCACCATAGAAGAACGCTGAGAATCGCCATATATTTTAAAAACCATACCTAGAACCTATAACTACATTTTCCCTTGCACTATTCTTAACAATAATCTCCTGTGCATTTTATCAAAATCGCTTTCCATGAAATAGTCCAATGAATATAAATCAAGGTATTGAGATAAGCTCATGAAAACATTTTATTATACCACTAGCAATTATTGGGTAAATTTACTGCACTATACATTCCGGTTGGTCCTAAAATCATGCATGCACTCTATTGAAATGGAAATATTCCTGACAAAAGTGGTTTATTAATTTAGTATGGTATGGTTTCTTTGTGTTAATTAGTTTAAAAATTGCTAATCTTCCTTTCAATTTCAGTAATAGCCTTCTGCATGCAATTTTGACTTCTAGTTCTAGGCCAATGAATTTAGTCATAGATGGAAGTGTTGCTGTAATCGAACCTGAGAGTCTTGGATGGCTGGTCCGGCTCTGTCTGCTGCTTTTCCCAGGACAACTTATTAACTACACATACATATTTTTAAGATATTCCGATTTTACCGTGATTATCTTAAAATTGATTGGATAAGTGTGAAGGACTACGTACGAATCATTCCGGTATTTTTATATATGTTACCTTATTTTATTCTTTAAGTGTGGATATTGGGTATAGAACAAACTCTTGTTGAAATCGAAAAGTTATAATAAAATGTTAATGAGTTGCAAGATAAGTTAAAAATCAAGATTCACAGTTTGTGAAACTCCAGGGTGCATTTGTACACGGTACTATAGTATTAATGGTATAAGTTGTTCCAATAAGACATTAAAGTAAAAAAATCACAGTCGTATTTGAATCATTATCACATATTTTCCTACAAAATTGCTCTGCATGTGAAATAAATAATTATAAAAACACTAGGAACATCCAAAATCTTTCTAGTATAAGAAACCATTTCTTGTGTGCAAAAAGAAAACGTATAACTTGCAATTTTATGTTTAGCTTACGATTATCTACATAAATTACTGCACGTTTTATATGGGAACAGCCTATACATAACCTTAAATCTGTGTACAAATGAACCTAAAATTACTGCGGAATTCAATACTAGAGATTTTAAGATAATCAGTTATAGAATAGGCGTTCCTGTCTTTTGAAATCGACACATTTGACAGCAACGATCTACTTCAGAAACAAATTACTGCCGCAACCTTAACTCAATCTCTGGCTAAATCCCTGTTTATTTTAAATTACTTCTATTCCGATATCCACATTTTTGCATTTCGAGCGTTTGTTAAATTGGTATTACATACCCAAGGCCATTTGGGAAATTTCCCACTACATATATTCAGATTATTGATAGAAGGTTGCGGCGAGAATTTTACTACTTGTTTCAAGCGTCCAAACAATTGACTGAAACTACTTTAAGGTGTCTTAATCACAATTGACAGTAGGTAGTATTAAATTAATCCGTATTATTCCCAGGATTGTGTTTCAGTGTAAATAATGTTTTCAGAGTATGAAATAAATTGCAAAACTGCCATACATGGTTTTATTCGGAAGACTAACCAAAGATAAATAATAAATCTAAGAGAAGAGTAGCTAGTCAAAAATAAGGGAGTATGCTTTCTAGATAGATGTAGGAATAGGGGGACACAAAATAAGACTAAAACAGTAAAGCGAATAAATCGCTCACGCTGAAAACCAATAGTCAGTATTGTATGAAAATAGTTATTTAGGTAAAGAGATTCTCTTACGAAATTGATCAGTTAGCTTCACATTATTATTATAGGTTTTGTGGGTTTATGCTTAATCGAAAATAACCTAATCGATCAATTTTGTAAGTCAATCTTTAAGTACTTGATGAGAAATACTGAAAAAATCAAGGCAGCATGCTTCAACAAGCTAATATTGATTGAAAAAGGTAGACAAAAGCCAGTCCAATATACAGGGTGTAACAGAATAACACCGACACACGTTTAGGGGTGGTAGGGTAGGTCAATTCAAGTAATTTGATATAGGAAACATGTGGTCGCACAGCAACCCCTACGGAGGTACGAACTTCTTAAGTTTGACGCCCGCCGACCCGATGAACCGTATGTCGAGGTTAAATGCTTGTAGAGACTTTAAAATGAAAAAAATCTTGTTTATTGTATTCAGCCAAAATAGCAAGTTATTAACAACTTGAAACAAGTCTAAGCAGTACCAAAAAAGTCTGATAAAGCTACTAATAATCAACATTTTTCCTACTGATAAGGGAATAAAAGCTGTACTAAAAGATAAAAAAAATAATGCATGAGCCATATCGCATTTTTTTATTGTTAACTAGTTTTTCTTGTACCTTTAGCGTCCATTAATCGGTTCATCTTATCCCTGTAGGGGTGCATCTGCGACCCCATGTTCCTCATGTCAAATTACTTGCATTGACCTACCATACCACCCCTAAACGTGTGTCGGTGGTATTCTGTTACAGCCTGTTTGAAATAATGCTTTGCATAGAAAAAAATCCAATTCTGCGATATCCAATCACAGTTCACACAATTAGCACCTAGAAACATTAGCCTGTGATTTTTAAACTTCATTGACCATAGAGGCTGTGGTTATTTTTGATTCCTTGTATGTATTTGAAATGAAGCTGGGGCGTCGTTTTTGCACTAGTTGGCCATGCAGTACAGAAAGAAGTGGAAGGTCTTCGACAACGCACCATGACAAGAAGCCAAAGATGAAGAATTACTGCATAGAATAGGGAAAACTATAAAAATCATAATTTAGGTTACAGATTAAAACTAAAACTTCAAGCACTTTGACATTTGTGTGCAACAAATGCTTGTCTATTCATCTGATTCCGCGATTTCTTTTCGGTCAAGAAAAACAAGCAACTTTCTTACAAGAGATGTTTTGGAATAAAAACTAGGCAAAATTTGTTCCAGTTCCATAAACAGATTTGAGGAGAATAGATCTAGTAGTGTTTTCAAACTATTGGGTTCAACTCAGATTTGTTTGTCTTCTAGGAAACTATCTTTTAGACCCTATGCCAACGAGTTAATTAAAATGGCTTCAATTTACCTAAAAAATACACAATCCTGCTCAAATTTTATTTGAGCATAGTTTTAGGTTTAGAATGTAATCGATAAAAGAG